CCATATGTTACATATACGGGCTGTATGTTACATATACGGGTTGTATGTTACATATACGGGCTGTATGTTACATATACGGGCTGTATGTTACATATACGGGCTGTATTTTACGTATACGGGCTGTATTTTACGTATACGGGCTGTATGTTACATATACGGCCTGTATGTTACATATACGGGCCGTATGTTACATATACGGGCTGTATTTTACATATACGGGCTGTATGTTACATATACGGGCTGTATGTTACGTATACGGGCTGTATGTTACATATACGGGCTGCATTTTACATATACGGGCTATATTTTACATATACGGGCTGTATTTTACATATACGGGCTATATGTTACATATACGGGCTGTATTTTACATATACGGGCTATATGTTACATATACGGGCTGTATGTTACATATACGGGCTGTATGTTACATATACGGGCTGTATGTTACATATACGGGCTGTATGTTACATATACGGGCTGTATGTTACATATACGGGCTGTATGTTACATATACGGGCTGTATGTTACATATACGGGCTGTATGTTACATATACGGGCTGTATGTTACATATACGGGCCATATGTTACATATATACGGGCTGTATGTATGCTTGGACTTTTATACAATGCCAGTGTGTAAATATTTATCATTTTTGAGCGTCCTTTCTGCATTTTAACAATCTAGCATAGCGCAATAAGGATTACGTAATGTTATCAGATAGCCCGTATATGTAACATGCCCGTATATGTAACATGCCCGTATATGTAACGTAGCGTTACCACCCCTGCTCATTATTAAAAATGTGTGCTTTGTACGAGTAATTGTATAAAATTGACAAGTTTTCTGTTAAAAAACATGTGTTTTGAATGAAAAGACAACGTCGCACAAATGAAACGCCTTGGACGTGTACATGCTGCAATTATTTTCAAGCGATCTCGCTTCGAACGCTGCTTAATCACTATAATAAGGTTCATGGCCATGAAACCAATTTTCGAGTTGTATGTAACGTTGACGATTGTCCGGCAATATTTACGAAATATAACTCGTTATATAAGCACATTACAAGGTGCCATGAGGATGTATACAATGAGACTGTTAAAGGCAACTCTGATGTTGATAATACTGAGGACAACGTCAATGATGATGGTGATTTATTTGATTACAACCTGCGTTTATATAACGAAATATCAGACAAAGATAGTTCCGATTCCGAAGAATTATGGGAAGCGAACATGGCTGACAAGCAGGTATATACTTATCAACTTTTCCCATTTCATATAAAGTAATAAACCAAGATTCATCCGACATTTCATTTTATTATTCACTGTGTGTTTACAATATCCATTTTGATTGCTTAGGGCCATTCCATTTAATATATACATCCCCCCTGTTGACGACATTTTCTGAAGGGTCTTGGAAATTACAAAATTTCTGAGGGGTGAGAAATTTTTTTAAAAACATTTTATGAAATTTCTGAGGGGTCGGAGAAAAAGGTAACTGTCTGAGTGTCCTGTTGACGACATTCCTGAAGGGTCCGAAAAATTTCACAATTTCTTGAGGGTCTTAAAATTTTTATTTCCGAAGGATTGAAAAACGTCGTTTCTGAGGGGTATAAAAATCGGAATATGTCGTCAACAGGTGGTGTTTATATGTATGTAAGTAAATAATCTGTGAAATTTCCAAAGAATTTTCAAAAATTTCAGAGGGGTTGCTACCATGGGTGCTACATATCGACGACAATTTCTGAGGGGTCCCAGAAAAATTTTTGAATTCCCGGAAAATTTGAAACTTGTGAGGGGTGTGAAAAATTACGTTTTTGAAGGGTCAAAAAATCAGGCGATGTCATCAACAGGGGGTGTATACATTAAATGGAATGGCCCTTAGCGACCTACAGATAATTCCTTCAATCCTTGGTATCTGCAATTATTATGTCACATCTACACATAAATCCTGGTATTCTGTAATTATGATGTCATATCTGCAAATAATAGTTTCTACGATTTAGAAGTCGTTTTATTTTTTTATAAATAAAATTTAATAGTTTCATAGCATCTTGTCAAACTTATTGGATGTGTATGACCTTCTTTCCTCGTATTCGATTGCTAAAATGAATAATAATGAACTGAATAATAAAATAATTATTGAATTCTGTTTTTGCGTGATATCGAGCTTTGCTTGATAATTCTCGATATCCCACTCAACCTCATCCAATAATTATTAATTATTTGTAGTAAGATAATAAACTATTTTTTTCCTGAAGCTTCCAGCGTTTGAGCCAGTAGCCTAGTGGTTACAGCGTCCATCAGCGTCATCTAAAGTCACTTTTTTTCTATTTTTTTCCTCAAACGTGTAGGGGTAGTGTGTGGGATCGGTTTATTTTATAAAAAAAACTTCATGTCAAATGAATCGCATTCACAGGGGTATTTTTTGCCCCCCAAAAATCCAGAACTCCCCCCCAAATCTGAAAATAGCTAAATTTGGGGGGGGGGGGAGCATTTCCCCCCAAAATGGGGCACGACTCTTTAGAGCATTTGTGATTATTTTCTTTTCAACTTTTAATTTTTTGGAATGAATGGAAATAATGTAATGTACAATGTAATGTACAAATAGGTGAGCGTAGGAAATGACTGGGTTTGTTGTTAGGAGGGATGGGGGAATTCCCCCCTAAGCAAAAAAAACCCCTGAAATATGGGGGGGGGGGAGCTCCCACCCAAGTCCCAAAACCTAAAATACCCCTGCATTCAGGCGTTGAGTTCCAGTGTCGTATGAATATCCAGGACGATTGTATTAAATTATACTGTCTTTAATTAATACT